GTAGTTCAAAATATCTTCTTCTGGAAGATGGTCTTCTCTATGTATAAACATATATCTGGTTATTTACATCATGATTTAGGAGAGTCACAAACTGTTTCAAAGCAGAATGTTTCAAGCAGCGGAGCATGTTTTAGTCAGACGTGTTCAGTGGAGTTTAAATTGAGGTCCAGTTGAAGACACTGTAAGTCTTTTAAAGTGCAAGTTTTTTTAACTATTCAGAAAAAAACCAATTGGAGTTCATCTTGTCTAAAATAATTTTGGGAAACAGAAACGTTGTTGAGAAGGTGGGGAACCGGTTCTCTGCAAATTTGGACTTACTAAATACTTGTGCTGAAAGGAATTTTATTCCATAAATTGCTTAAGTCACTTCATTTACTTTGGGAGTTGTTACTTTTTGTTATGTGGTTCAAACTAAATTCATGTTCCTCATTTTGTAGATGAAAACTATACAAATTTTTATAATTGTTCCCAAAAATTAAAAGATCAACTGCTTCTTTGTTTTCCCAAGTAAATTTCATAAAAAGTCATGCCTTGTACTTTGCATGATCTGTTGTAGTGTTGAATAGAAAGTGTTCTCAACTAAGTAACTGAAATAAATCCTGGTTGTTTAAAAATAAATATCAACCATTTGTTAGTAATATTTATTTTTTGCTTCAGTGTGTTATTGTTAATATTTTTTTAAATGTGCTCAGTGGGTAGGCAGTACCTGAAAATAATTATTTGGTTTTGTCTTTGTATTTGGTGTATTTAGGTTTTAAATTTATTTGCTTGGAGCTGTTTATCTGCTTTATTTACACTGCTTTCCAGAAGTGTTCAATTTCAGATTTTAAAAGAGTCAACAAATGCTAGAATTGTTTAAAAAGATTTAATTATGTATATATTTTGTTTTTCTGAACCTTTATTTTAAGCCAAGAGGGCCGAAAGTTTATCACTCTCAAGGCAAAGTGCTAAAATGCAGGACGAAAAGAACAATTTGTATATTTGTGTACCTTATTCAGTCTTTGTCTGGGATATGTAAAAGTTAGGGGTTCTGTAGGCATGTTTTTGCAAACAAAGAGTATATTTCAGCAAAACGAGGACAAGAAAACAGTTCAGTTTTTTTTCATTGTGGATTTAATTGGTGTTTTTGTAGCACTGACATTGTTATGTTGTGTGTGACTGTTCTCATCAGCTGCTCTGTTACAGCAGTGGTGCCACTCCAGGCTTTGCTGTGATGAATAGCAGGGTACATACATACATGTCCTGATGTGCAGAGCAACATTTCAACGTTACTTAACATTTCTTTGGTGACATCTCTAGTTTTCCTGTCTGTATGCTGTCCTCCATCTGCTTCCTTCTTTTCACCTCTTTCCTCCTTCTGTCTTAACCTTTGGGTAGATGCCACATTGTGTTTTGCTGTCCCATGCTGTTTCTCTGCTTTCTTGTTTCTTTGTGTGATGCCTCACATATTTGGTGTAGAAAACTTCTCAGATTGGGCTTTTCATGGTCCTGCACCTTGTGTGGGAGTGCCTGAGGTTGGTTGTCTTTACCAATATCTTCTGTTGGAGAAAGCAGCAGGTGGGAAAGGGACTCCTAGAAAGGCACTAAACGTTGCATGAAAGTCACCAACAGTGTATTCCCTGCTCTGCACTGGGGAGGACAAGCTCCTGAAGGAAGAAGACATCATAAAAAGTGTCAGGACTGTGATTTATTAAGTGGCTTTTCACTCCTTTTGAATTAAGGTTGAAGGAGTCATAGAATCATAGAATCATAGAATAGATTGGGTTGGAAAAGACCTCCAAGATCATCAAGTCCAACCTCTGATCCAACTCCAATTACTATATCATGGCACTAAGGGCCACGTCCAATCTCTTTTTAAAAACCTCCAGGGATGGTGAATCCACCACCTCTCTGGGTAGGCTGTTCCAATGCCTGATAACCCTCTCTGTAAAGAATTTCTTCCTAACATCCAACCTAAAACCTCCCCTGGCAGAGCTTGAGCCCATGTCCCCTTGTCCTATTGTTGGTTGCCTGGGAGCAGAGACCAACCCCCACCTGGCTACAACCTCCCTTCAGGTAGTTGAAGAGAGTGATGAGATCAAGACAAGCTCCTGCTTCGTTCACCCTAAATTGTCTGTCTGCCTGCCTTGATAGGTAGATACCTGATGTTAGACTCCATACCTGATGTTAGACTCCATACCTGATGTTAGACTCCACATCTGTCATCTGCCTGTCTGGCAGGTGAAGAGGGAAGATGGCATGAGCACCACAGGAGTGAGGCAAGGCAGGTGAGGAGTAGGAGTGAGCTGGGCGTGATCTTTGGGACTTATGTCAGACCGTCTCCTTCCACGAGTAGCTCTGGCTGTTGACAGGCAGGAAGAGGTGCTGGAGCAGCAGCTGTAGCCAGGAGCAGTGAGTGACTGGATGGGTGGGAGTTGTCAAACTGCACCACTCACCTTAATGGTGTTGTCATTCACAAACAGCAGAGAGCAACAGCAGCTGAGTTTGACTCTTTTCCACGGTGCTGGTTTTTGAGGAGGAATTGAGGGAGGATTTCAGAGAAGACTGTGCATCTAGCTGTCAAAAGAAATAATTTTGTTAGAATGGCCCTTATAGGTGAAGAAGATTGTTTCACAGTTCTTCTCATATCTTTCCCACAGCAGGTTTTTTTGTTGTTGCACATGTACTGTTGCTTTTTAATTTCTGAAGAGACCGTATTCCAGTTTGGTTTAAGAACTCCAAAGGAGATATATTTCTCTTGGATTTAATTTAAATATAATATTTAGCCATAGTTATGATCTGTGCGTGTCTTGTGAACAAGAACAACAGTATTATTTGAGCCATAATAGTTCTTTAAAGGTGGGATTTACTTACCTGAATATTTTGTTGTTTTAGGACAGTTCCTCTATTGTATTTAATTTATACTTTAACAAGTTGGTGTTTTTCTTTACAAGTACTCAAAGCAAATATGTGACTGACTGAGAACTTGAATTTTGTTAGTTTTTTAAGTGTGGTTTGGTTTAAAGAGTGCTTTCTTCAGAGAGACCCAATTCCTGATCAATGCAAAGCTGGTGATGCACTAAGTGAGGATATCCTGCCCTGTTATATCTCCCTTGTTCTTTAAGTGCTTTAAAATTACTTGTTTCTGATAAGCCCTTTGACCACTTATTTTCCTTTATCTAACAATCACTTGCATTTACTGGGTTTGTTTGGGGTGTTTTGTACCTCTCTTCTCCACTTAAGTGCAGAAATTTGTCTTCCTTTTTCTGTGTGGTGTTCTGCCTTTTCTCTCCATTCTCTCTTTACATGGTGCTGCTGCAGAACGATCAGTTCTAAATAGGGGCACTTTACTAACAACTTTATTGCCTTGGGTATTAGCTGTTGAAAAAGTCCTGAAGCTATTTCTTAGTTTAGTACGGTTATTTTGTCTTTTTTTGTGTGTGTGAGGTCAGACCCTCTTGCCTCATGTTAACCAAGTAGACCTGGTGCCTTTCCTACTGCTTGAGAGGAGAAACATCATCTCATGTATGGATTTTGTTACGATTTGTTTATACTGGGTTTAACACGTGGAAAAAACCCTGTCTTTAGAGGGCAGTAGCTGCAGTTAGTGGTGTCTTTGGCCAGAAATACCATCTTTAGAGGAAAATACGGTTAACCTTCTTGTGGGATTTTTTCCTTAGGCTTGCTCCAGTAAATGATCTGAGATACAAAACCAACTTCAAATTCCTTTTTTTTACATGTGTTTTTCACTCTCTCAGTGGTCTGTGTTACGAGTATTTTCTTTCCTGAAGAAACTAAGAGAATCATGACTTTGCTTCCTCTGTATCAGCTAAAAAGAAATGCAGAAGAGTTTTGCCCTCAGTTTTTGTAACTGCTGGTAGACATTGAAAGTATTCCAGCACAGTTGTTTTGGATGTGGTTCAGTATTTCATAAACATTTGTTTGCCAACTTCAAATTGATTTTTATGTATTCAAATATAACACATTTTCAGCTTGAGTGTGTTTTATTTCTCAACTTCTCTAGGCTAATAAGGGCATAGGGAGAAAAAGGAAGTCATTATATGTGTAACAGTGGCAAAAAAAGAAAATAGTTTCCTTAAATCTATTGTGTATTTTAGTCTGAATTTGGGAAGGTGCCATAGTACTTTCAGCTCTTGTCTGCACTGGGAGCTGAATGCTTTTCATCAAAATTGAATTATTTTTTATATTTTCTTGGAAATTACACAAAACCATCCAGTAAGAGATTCTTGCAGATAAAGCTTTGTTGATATGTTGTAATCCATGTGTACTGATTTATGGTTGTGGTTTAAAAGCTAATGTACGGGTTTTTCTGTTGTAATGGTGTTGTTCTTTGAGGCCTCATGAATAGTTAAAGATTCTTTTCATTTTCACTGTTGGAGAGGTCGCTGCCCTGAAAGTTTCAGTTTCTCTCCTTAATTTAGGTGAAGAGTTCACAATTTTAAAAGAAAAAAATCCTGCCACTAATGCTGTGTGTCTCTCTTGACACCTTTCCTGGACAAGTTTCGAGGAATAGGATAAGTAAATTTAAGAGCTTCGTGCTTTTGTGCAAGTTAGACAAAAGCAAGGGGCCTTGGGACAGGATGTGATTGCTTTGAACGTGCCACAACTTGCTGTAGGCACCTGGGTGCGCTCCAGGCAAGGAAAACACTCCGACATTTGGTACTGTCTGGTGGGATTGGGACCTTACTTTGTCATCTCTAAATAGGTGATGTTTGCTGAGGTTCTTGGGATGCTGAGAACACAAACCTGGACAGAGATCAGTGCAGTTTGCTGCTGTTTGCCTGTCCCTTTTCATAAGGGCAGAGCTTCCCTCCGTCACTGTTCTTTTGAGAGGGCTGCATTTTATGTTTGTAAGCAAGAAAAATGATTAACACCTGCTTTTCTCCATTGTTTTATGTATTATGAATAATCCCTGAAGTGAAGTCTACATTAAATGTCACAAAGGCAGCTGAATCATGTTTGAATGAAAATGTGAAAGTGTCTTTGTTTGTGTCTTTCAGGAAGAAAAGGCTTCTCTCCTACATCGGACTCAGGAAGAAAGGAGAAAACGAGAGGTAAAGTAGCCTTTGGATGCCCACTGGATTTTAATTTGATGTAACTTTTGCAGTGCAAAGTACTTCTGCTGCAGTTCATACTTAGGTCAGGAATGTTTTGTTTCAGTTTACAAGTTCTGTGTAGTCTTCCAGCGTGCTCCAGTTGGCAAACCCCTTAAAGGTGTGTTTGCTAGATTAAGCACAAGTTCTGCAATGGCTCCTCAGTTTCCGAGCACAGTTAACTGCTTTTTTTTTCTTCCCAACATGGGTGTATAATTATGGACCAAGTTTGAGTATGAAACTACTAGGATTTCACCAGCTAGTTCAGAATTCTGTGTTGTGCATCAAATTTATGATCAATGAGTTCTTACCAACGTATGTGAAAAGTCTTTGTGGTTCACAGACTTTTTTCCATCCATCGAAGTAACCACCCATTCCATTGCTGAATTCTGTGTTCTGCAAAGCCAGTGCAGAGGCAGTTTACTCACATCTGTATTTGTACACATGTGCACACAACGATTTTCTGTGGCACATTCTCACAAAATGAATGGCTCCTCTGAGAATAAAATCAGTTATGGATTTTTAAAAACTGCCTGTAGCAGAATCTTAGCAGCGACCTCAGATTTAAAACCTTTGCAATTACGGGTCGCTAATTGACAATTATGTATTCTGAGATAAAACCCATACCTAGAGAAAAGGAGAACATATCTGTGTTTTAGTTGAACCTTACATTATGGTTATGAAGAGACACTGCCTCGCTGTAATTGAAACTCTCTCCTGATTGCACTTTTACTGTAGATACTTTGGAGAGAAAAATAGCCTTTGGCCTGTCAAAATTTTGATTTTGGTCGATGCTTTAGATTTAATTACAGTCTCTGAGTATATGCTTATGCAGAGAAGTTGCTTTAGGAACCAGAGTTTCCAAGAAAAGTGAAATAGACCTTGAATAACAATTTTGTCTGGTGTTTCTCGGTAGCTCCAGGTTATGTTTTTAAGTTGGATGTGTCTTTATGGGACAATAAATTAGAAATCACGGTTTTATGAGTTGAAGGTTTATGTGAACTTTCGTAAGTGTATTTTAATGAAATTTAGGAAAATATTTCTGTGTTTTGTTTTGCTTGGTGGCCCTCAGAATTAAAGGCTTGTTGTAGTTCAAGGATTGATTAGGTAAAAATTTCTCATTTTAAAGGAGGCTTCTCAGTCCTTGTACTTTTCCTTCCTCAACCACTGCTTTGTAGCTTTGGGTTCATGAGCAACTACTTACTTCCCTCTTATCCCCTAAGAATCTATATGGGCATTGTTAGAAACATAATTACAGAAGCCACTTCCCACAGATATTTAGTGTGATGGGATGTGCTGAGGGTGCTGTCAGGGAACCCTCCGAGTGCTCTTCCCATAGCACCTCAAGCAAACTGGCTTTCAGTTCCTCAGAAAGTGAGACATTGTAAAGGAATGATTTTACCTACTCTTTCCAGCTAATGAGGAAGACACATGATATGTCTGGTTTGAAGAAGAGAGTAACAATTTTCATTAATTTCCATGTTGTGCTCCTGAGCTTAAAGCTTTAAGCCTCATTTTCCTTTTGACAGAGGTACTATCTCCAAGTAACTGATTTTTTTTGTTTGTTTTCCCCATATCTTAAGTGTGCCAGCATCATGATAATTTTATATTATTGGAATGAAAACAAATAAGTGGGTCTTCAGTGTTAGCTGATCTATGCAGAAAGAGGAAAGCTGTCATACAATTTGATGAATTCTTCAACATAGTATTAAAACTTTGTCTTATAAAATACATTAATAATAAAGTGATACAAACTAATATGATTTTTTAAAAATTTTTATAGTATTACATACTGAGTATTAAAAATTCTTTTGCAATATCTCAGTGGTAAATTTGCCCTTAAAAACTTAAAAAACATTCCCACTGATCTATATGTATTGGGTACAAACATTAAAATGCTTTATTTGACTAATGATTGCTGCTTAATTTTCATTTTAAAAAAATACTTTTGAGTACTAATATATTTGGTAAAATGGCAGAAATTAGAGTCAACCCCACAATGTTGATTTTGGTTTTCTTGCTTTGTTTTACAGGAAGAAAGGCGGAGGCTGAAAAATGCAATAATAATCCAGTCATTTGTAAGAGGGTACAGAGACAGAAAACATCAAGTCAGTACTTATTTATTTATTTAGAAAGATGTTAAACAGTTTTGCTGAAAATGAGACTTTCTAGTATAATTTGACTGAAAAGTCTTTTTGAATGTAAATAATTTAATTGAAAAATCTTTTTGAGTATATATTTCACAAAGTGGAAATTCTTTATTCCCCTCTTGACATTTTCATTTGAAACTCAATATTTTAGTAGACAGATGTATATTCTGTAAAGCATGAACGTGGCTGGACCTCAGTGGGATCATGCAGTGTTTTTTTAGCTGATTAAAACAGATGAAAACTATTAGATATTAAGAGCTTTCACACGTCAGTGGAGCTTTTAATTTTTTTTCCCAGTATAGCTAAGGTGGTAGTTTGAGTCAAAAAGTTGTTCTTTCTAAGGTGCCATTGGGTAGATTCTTCTGAGAAAGAGCTTTATCTGTTTAAATTCTCTAATTTAAATAAAAGAGATTAAAATGTTTGGTGTGATGCTCTTGATAAGGAACAGATTTGTTGCATGTGTACCTTCTGAGTTACAGAATGGAACTGTGATACTGTGTGTATATTTTGATCTCATAATGAATATATGTTGTCTGTGTTTAACTAGTTTGCAACCTCTTTGGATGGGAAACTGAAATGAAGGTTTAAAAATTTTGCATCTCTCTTTTAAATCATAACCTTTATTGATATATTGATGCATGTTTTATTTTTAAGTACTCCATCCAAAGAAGTGAATTTGATCGCTGTGCTAATTTGGCCCAGTCTGGAGGAACCTTTTCCACTGCCAATGGAGCTAATTTGACTCTTCTGGTTCGGCAGTTACTCTTTTTCTACAGACAGAATGAGGATTCGAAGCGTTTGGTGAGTTCTGTTACATACCCTGATCCATAGTCCTTGTGTTTCATGCACTGTTAAAGTAGTCTTTTACTTAAAAGGTTTTGTAGGGATGGAAAAAAGCCTTTGTCCACTTAAATTAATTTAAGAGTTCTTATTTTAAGAGTTCAGGCTTTTGCTGGTCTGCACTCTGCTGTTTTTCATTTAGGCACAATAACTTAAAATCAGATTTTACAAGTGCGTGCACATACATCTGCACAAAATATGTGAAATGAAGCCTGAAAAATCCTGTGAGTATTATTCACATTGGTTTTTTAAAAAGAATATATTAAAATTTTAATTTTTAAACCATATTTTCCACTTAGCCCCTTAGTCATTCCTAGGGTGTTTGGGTGATTTTTTTTTTTTCCTCACTGTTGAATGATGCTGGCATATCAATTGCAAGGTCACTGCCAGCTTCCCAAGTGTGTGAGTTAGTATGGTTCATAGTGGCTATTGATAATGGACATTAAAGAATTATGGCTATTTATAAAAAAACCCTAACAGATAACTTCATTCTAAGAGTAAAGTTATTTGTAAGTGTAATTCAGTCTTAACTTTGAAAGTTTAGTATTAGCAGTCATATAGATTATGTTGTGTAACAGTGGGGTTTTTTCTCCTCTGAACATGATTCAGTCTGTGTTTTGTAAGCCCTCCAAAGGTATCCACAACAGCGCTGAAATATTACTGTCTGAGTTGCAGTAGGCAAAACAGTAAATTTGTGCATATCTTGTTGCAGGTATGGATGTGTCAGAATTTAATTAAACAGAGTTCTCAGTTTGTTAAGCAGTTGGATGGTCCAGACAGACTTACTTGCTTATTCCAAATAAAAAGACTGTTGGGGCTGTGTTGCAGGTAAATTCTTTTTTTTTCTATGTTCTCCTATGTAAAAAGTGTTCAGAAATTATGCTGGGCACTTCTTTGTTTCTTTTTGCAGCAGGTGAAGTATTAAATGTAACTTTATTTTATGAAGAGGACTGTTTAATATGTATGTGGGCCGTGGCATTAGATATATGTCCCTATGTTGAACAGTGAAATGTTCTTAAGCTCTGTTGGCTTTCAAGTTCAACACGTGCTTAAGGGATGCTCTCCTAGGATAGGCTTAAGGATGCTCTTAACTGTTTTTCTTAGCAATATTTGTGGAAGCCAGGTTTTCTTGGGAACTGATAGCGTTTCTAAGTTAGTATCTGAGGTACACTTGTGTTTTGAGGATATGCTTTGGATACACGTTGTTCCAATACTAATATTATTTAGGATGCCTTTCCTCACGCTGTTCTCGGAATTTAGGGCATGTTAGGAAGTTACAAAGGCATATTAATCAGTTACATTACTGGCTTCAGCTTTGCATTTATTATTTGCAGTGGGAGGATCACAGGAAGGTAAATCTGTTAAGGTGACTTGAACATTTGGCACCTAAACCCTAGGTTTGGAAAACAGTGTATTTATTCTTATCAATAATAGGAACTAGTTATATTATCCAGAGCATTAAAATAATTTTTTTTTTAGAAAATTGTTTCATTTAAGTCACTGAACCTTGTGTTCTTATAAGTGTGTATGCTGTGTGATAAACAGTGACATCAGAGACTAAAGAAGACTTGAGTGGTGGGCTTCAAAGTCCATGTGCAGTGGGACACAGCTGTGGTGTCACTGCACTGAATTGTACCTTTTCACTACAGTTGAAATTGTGTTTTTGTAAATGCAGCTATTAATGTGGATGGGGAAGAAAACACATTGTTAGGATGACTCTACCTATACACATCTCACACTAAATATCCTTTGAATTCTAAACAGGCTCTTAATCTTCATCATTTCTGTGGTCACTGATAGTTGTTATGTAAGGAACAGTTGTTAAAAGGATGGGATTTTTAGTATTTCAGTCTGTAATCAAGGCTGTCATATTGTGTTAGTTATGCATGTGATGTTCCCTAGCATTTGTTCCCAGCCCATATTGCTCTGGGGCTTTTATGTCTTCATGGAAAAACATGAATTATCCTTTGCTTCTCTTCTAGTTCATGCAGTAGCCTTCCAAACTTCCAAATCATTGAGAGAATTTAGTAGGAGTTAATAGGATTTACAGGTAGAATGTCATATTCACAGAAACCCTAAAATGAGGAGTTACTATGATAAAGATGCCAACAAAAAGATGTAGCTAAACTACTGCGAACAGTTGGAAACCACATAGAAATAAGATAATTAAAGGTGAATGTGAAGGTTTTTTTGTAGTTTTAGTTTTAAATCATTGTACATATGCTTGTGGTGAAATAAGAGAAATATCTTGTTGAATAATTTTAATTTAATTTCATTTATAGGCTATTGCAGAATTGCAATGATGACAGTCTGAATGTTGCACTTCCTATGAGAATGCTTGAGGTATTTTCATCTGAGAATACATATTTGCCAGTTTTACAAGATGTCGGCTATGTGACATCATTAATTGAACAAATTTTGCACTATATGGTTCAAAAAGGTGAGTAGATAGGAACTGGAAGTTCTGGGAAATACTCAGAAATTAAACAGGATGTGTAACACCTGAAGACCACGTTGTTTAATCACATTTTTGCTTTAACCACAGACACGATGAATGAAATGCTGTGTACACTAACCTATACACTAGATGGACACTGTGCTTGTCATGAGATCACTGCTTGAGAAATTACTGCTTTATTTCTTTAGAAATTCTGTTCATAAATTGAATATTCTATCAAGTTACTTATACAGACGTTTACAACAGATTTTGAGAGTAGGTGGATATTGCCTAACAAAGGCTTTAATCCAGTAGCTGTTTACAGACACACACACACAGAGTTTCCCATGGACACATGCACACACTGTGGCAGATCTGAGCCTTAGTTTTGTAAAAGTTAGTCGTTGTGTTGCAGTACTGTTCTCTACAAATATTACTATTCATTATTATTCTAAATTGGCATTACCTTTTCATCCTGCCGACACCAGGGACACCTTAGCAAAGAGATGGTGACCTGCCTTTGATTTATATTGTTTGCTAAACTGCAATGAGTTACACCTGTGCAAACATACTGAAAGTTAATGAATTGTGTAGTTAGCACCAAAATTATGTTTTGTCTCAAAGAAACTTTATTATTCTGGGAGTGTCCAAAAAAAATAATTTGCCTTTTTGGTGCAGTAGAGTTTGCGAAACTTGTGGATGGGGAGAAAAAACAAAAACATTTTGAAATAAATATCTCAGATCCAGCCTCGTTGGTGTAAAATGCAGAAAGAGCACCTTCCATTTGTTAGTTGTTGGAATAATTCTGTGTAAGTTTTACAGTACATTCAGTAGACTAGACTGTCTTATCCTATTACTAAGGATTTGCTTTTAACTACTATATGTTCAAGTCACTATGAGAAAAATAATTACTCTTATTGTAGCACATTTATTTTACTCACCCTGCCATAGCAAAAACTATAGAAGTATTTGTGTTTGTCTCACTAACTTGTTATATAATAAATATATCTTCCAAAATGCATATATTTGTTCTTTTAGTATATGAATTCTCACAACTGGTACATTAAAGTTATTAAGATCACAGAATCATTAATTTTTTACTAAAATGTAGCTTTCTGATGACTTCAAATGAAAACAAAAAGAAGCATTTTTTGCAGCTACAAATGTTCTGTCTCCAAATCATTTATTATGCTTAATTTGTAAAGAATCTGTTATCAGCTTTTATTAGTATATGTTTTTGCATATAATTTGTCTTCCACATGTCTCTTGTCAGCATTGCTGAGTTATTCCTTTATGAGGACTTCCTGCCTTTTGCATTGTATGTCAAGTTAGGTGGTCCCCAACAAAGGGTCTTAGACTGGACTGTCAATGATGTGACACTTATTTATTGCATTTCCAGGTGGTTCCTGTAGTTGTGAGACCTGGGTCTTAGTTTAGGAGTTCATTGAGCAAGGGGAAGTTGCTTTAAGAAGAATGAAATCATGTGATTCCATTTGTACTTCAGTGAGACAAATACAAATTACCCTCTACACATGTCTTTATGGCATAGGTGGTATAATGCATTTTATTACTGTCTGAGAGCCCTGTTTTGGAAACAGTGATTGTGTTCTTCAGTCTGCTAAGGTGAGGTGGCCATAGAATTGAGACATTCTGCCAGCAGGACTCTCACCTGTATGATGCAGTCATGCTTCGGAGTAGAGGGGAAAATCTGACATTTCTGGAAGTGTGGAAGGGTAGAATGTGACTACAGTCACTTAAAGGAGAGGAGAACATCTTTTTCATAGGTCATTATTTAAAAAAATCAAATAATTCATTTCATCAGCAAGAGTTCATTGGTCTTTGAAAATCAAAGTGAGTCTGAATGTTGATCTCTATGAATGATTTTATAATGGGATATTTCCAAACAGGTTGCTGATATAGCCTCTTAATTATGTGAATATGACTTAGACTATTGTAAAATGTCTTCCTGAGTCAAGCTTCATACAATGAATTGTAAAGTGTTTTTCAAGTTAATGTTGTTTTATATGGAAAAGTAGAAAACTAATGCTGTATTTTAAAAGTGATTTTTCTTACTTGCAGGCTACTACAAGTCGCTTTATTTGTTAATTAACAATAAGCTTCCCTCGAGTATTGAGTATTCTGATGTTTCTCGTGTCCCTATTGCAAAAATACTTCTGGAGAATGTTCTGAAGCCATTGCACTTTACATATAGCTCCTGTCCAGAAGGTGCAAGGTAAATAAAGATCACATTAGATATTTCTGTACTTATTTGCTATAGTCAGAGGTGCGTGGTTTGCTGTTGTTGAGTGTCTAGCCATTCTTTCAGTGCAGTTTGTTGATTTATTTGCAATAGTGATGATTTTTTGGTAATGCTGTACATCAGTGAAACAATGTAGTTTCAGGTGTGTTTAAGAAAAAGGCAGTAAAATGCTGAATGCTACAGTAAACAGCACAGAGAACAGCAGGTATCTTGATACGTAGGAACACAGGTGTGGAAAAGCTTAGATGAGAGCAGAGATGCAGCTAAGGGCAGGTGAAAAGAATTTTAGAGTTGAAAGGAACTTTGTGACAGTTGAGCTGAGGTTTATGGAGAGAAATAACTAAGGTTACAAGCAGAAGAAAGAGTCAGGTATGTAGACAGAAGGAACAGAAACCAGACTCAGGTTGTATCGCATACAACAGTGTTTTGTGTAAAAGTAGAAATTTGTGTAAAGATTAATTGTGCTTTTTAGATTTTTTTTTTATATTATAAACGATGTCAAAATAGTTTTTTGTGAGTTCATGAAAAATTTAGGGGCTAAAATTACATGTAAGATCATCAGGAAAAGGATTTAGTTTTTGAGAAATCTGAGAAATCTGGTGTACTAGGTCAGGATTAATGGAGCACACCTTTGCAACCTTCTTGGTGGATGTGTGCAAACTTGCAAAGCGATATATTATTCCATGTGTATCATTGTGGGAAATTTTGCCTATGTTTTCCATAACAACAATTTTTCTTCTTTTCAGGCAGCAGATTTTTGCAGCCTTCACAGAGGAGTTTCTGGCAGCACCTTTTACAGATCAGATATTCCATTTCATCATTCCAGCGCTTGCTGACGTGCAGACCATTTTCCCCTATGAACTCTTTCTGAATGCACTATTATTAACAGAAAGTGGATGTTCAAGACGAAGTGATGAAGCCCCATGGCTTTTCTACTTTGTGTTAACAGTTGGAGAAACATATTTGGGTGAGCAAGCTGAGTGGCCAGTTCACTGTTTGTTTCATATGGGAGTTAATACGTTATGTGTTTCCATGACATGGTTCATTGCCAAGTAAAAAGGACAGCTTGTGGAGAAAAGTGTTGGAGAGATCTGTTTTATTTCCTCTTCTTACCTTTTTCAGTAAAAAATGCACTGATGTGATAAGATTTGGCATAACTTGTTTTGGTGAGGTATTTCTGGTAAGACGTGTTTTATAGTTTGGTGTGATCTGGCTGATGATCTTTTCTTTCAATGTACATGCTGTAGGATCCCTTTCAGAGGAAGGACTTCTTGTGTATTTGAGGGTACTCCAGACTTTTCTCTCTCAGCTGCCTGTGTCTGCTGCTGGTGCAAACTGTCAGGATGCAAACAGTGATTCTGAAGATGAGGATGAAGAGATCAGTAAAATGACAACCACGCCGGTAAGCAGTACGGGATTTCTTTGAAAGAATTTGTGTTATGGCAGTAGCACAGATAGGGAAAAACATGATCACTCTTAAGTCCTGTATTTTTCTAGCTATGTGTAGAAGGGAACATATTTTCTCCTTAAAAATAGATGACTGTTCACTGTAAGCAAATGAAACTTGTTGCTTACATTAAAAACAAACCCTTTAATAAGAGGTCTTAAACTACAGATAGTGTGTCTGCTGAAGGACAGAATTTTATTTAAAAAATAAGGGTTTAAACTTACCTTCTTTAAATTTGTATTTTACAGAGAATTTTTACTCTGTCTGTTCTTTAATTCCATGATGATGCTAAGTTATCAGGAAACACACAAACCTGATATTCCAACTTAGTATTTTCTGCCTTTACTTTTTTTTTTTTCTCTTGGAAATACAAGTTCAACTATAGGCTTTACCCTGTGGAATTAGCTCTGTTTGTATTCACTAACTCAAAAGCCCTTGAAGGGGAATCACCTGCTTTGTGTAATAATGTATAGAGACTGTGCTATAAATAGAACTTTTTCACTGTAGTTTAAACTTCCTGCAGTAGAATAAATCTGTTCTAACTTTAACCTAATAATTGTGTCAGGGCTTTGAACAACCAAAGTTAGATGTAGATTCAACAATCTTTCAGAAGATGCTGCCATTCAAAGGACTTTGGCAATGTGCAGGCTTTCCTTGTAGAATATGTAAAATTTCACAATATTTAGGATTTATTAAAAAAAACCCAATTGAGATTATTTTGCTTCCCCACAACATGCTGGAAATTCTGGATTTTTGTCTCAGGCATTCTAAGGCTTCTTGGTTATGTGTTGAAAGCAGAAGCATACCAGGTCTTCTAAGAGATACTGTTCCTATAATGCCCACTTAATTTTCATGGAAGGTGATGTACATTTCTGAAAGATGCAGCATTTTTAAGACATTGGTTTGGAGAGCAACCTCTAAGGAAGAGCTGTGCTGCTGGGGAACACTTGCAGCCTGTTAGTTGTGAGTTTTTAGATGCCGTGTGTTATTGATACCCCAAAATCTTTACCATGAGAGAGTGAATAAAATACTTAATTTGCCAGATACACACACTGTATGCAATGTAAATATTGGCAGATTCTGCTCGTGGCTTAGAGATTTGTAATGTTTAAGAGCTGATAAGGTAAAAACAAAGCATAAATTTCTCTTCACAGATAACTTACACTAATTTGTAAATTAGAAAAACATATGCTCTGAGGAGTACTTTGAATAAATAATACTATTTATTGCAATATGGTTTTGTATGCTTCTCCTGTGAATTTTTAATGTATTCTGTATTTTCATGCATGCTTGTCTTAGAAAAAAAAAATGATGGGTGGGTGGGGAACCCCTCTTTCTTAAAAATTTATAATTAGTTAACTTGTGTCTTTCAAGAAACCAGACTGCTTTGCTCAGTTGGGGGCAACATAAAGATAGGAAATAAGGAAAAGAAAATCTTGAGCTTGACTCAACTCTATGCCAACAGAAAACATTCCTCTTGGCACACTTCTGGCACTACCCAGACATGTGTTGACCATGCTGAAGTTTGTTGCTGTTTGTTAACCCATGGATTATGAAAGTGAAATACTGTTTGTAAAGGAATTTACAGTCAACATCCATTTCTGGATTTCATGTCCAATGCTAACTGATGTCAGTGGGAAGAGATGATTCTTCACATATTTTATGCCAGTAAATGATTTTTTCCTTATTGTACCCAAGTGTTGCAGAACATAATTACATTAAAGGCAGTATATCCAGTGGCTTAAGTGAAAGATGGATACCACAACCCATCGGTTGCCTGCCTGGGGGTTTAAGATGGCTCTTGGGTCTGATACTTTTAAGAATGGGATATCCATGTGTGATTCCATTGTATTTATTGTACAAGGAAACTTTATGTTTTAGTAAAATTTAGAAGTATTATTTTTTTATCAAAAAGAGGATACTTGATCACTAAAAAAAAAAATTAAAAGCAAACCTTTCTTTGATGTGTTTGTAGGGTGATGGGAGAATATCAGTTCAGTACATAACTGAGGAGTGTCTGAAGAAATTGGATACGAAGCAGCAGACAAACACTCTACTGAATATGGTTTGGAGAGACTCAGCAAGTGAGGAGGTCTTTACCCTGATGGCATCAATCTGCCACACACTAATGGTACAACACCGAATGATGGTGCCAAAAGTCAGGCAAGTGTAAATAATAGTGATCTTGAACTGTAATGCATCTGAAATTGGTTTTATTAGATAGACTTGTTTTAAATACCTTGTGGGGCTTTTTCTGTGTTTTCTTTTATGACCAGCTGAAATAAATTAGATTTTTGGAATTTAAATCTGAATTCTCCACAAACCAAAGAGTGGATTCTTTGTTTCTTATTTTTCTGATTGTTCATTGTGCCCCCTCAAGATCCTTGGAAGGATGTTATCCATTCCCTTGTCAGAGACAGTTTTGAGTGTAATTCTAGTAGAAATTGGTGTAGCTTGTATTTAAAACATTCAGTGCTGTGGATTCCACAGTCTCTATCTCGCTGAGCACTGAAACCAACTTGTTCTCTTAGCTCTTTATAGCCAAAATATGTTGCTACGAATTAAAACAATTCCTAGCTATTGAAAATCATTGTAGTTTGGAAAGGGCTTTGGCACCTGAGATGGAGATAAAGGACATGTTCACTTGTATTCTTTTACAAAGATTGCCAACCACAAATGTCAGAACAATGGGAGATTTTTCACCTTTTTATTATCAGCCTGAGCCTCATGAGTATTAACACTGTTCTGGTGCAAGTAGTTTTGAGTAAGTATGTAGTTGCTGGTAGTAAAGTAAGTATTTAGGGAATGTTGTAAACATAATTCAAACTGCATTGTAAACAGTGATACAGAAAACTAATTAGGTGCTATCTTAGCCCAGTGGTGTTTATAGCTGTTAGAGGAAGTAAGATGTCAGTGAAACTGTGATTGCTCGATTAGGGTAATTAGTTCTTTGTAGACTAATTGCATTAGAGCAGGATGTGAGACCTGGAGATCATAGCACTACTTGAATTAGTGTGCCTGCTTTATTGTTGCACGTAGTACATTGCCCTGGATAGTAATTACTGAGCTTAAATGCATCACTGCTTTGACTTGAGATTTGCTGGTGAACTGTGTGGAAAAGGGTGTTTAATGAATAAAGAAGTCACAGAACTTTAATTGTATGAGTATGGCATCTATTTCCTGAGAAGCCATATTGGGTCTTTGCAATTATTTGTCATAAAAAGCTATTTAAAACATTGGATACTTTCAGGAGTTATGAAAGCTCTTCTCAATGTCTTCTACTGGAAAGTAATTTACAAATTTTAACTTTTGAATAGCTCCCAAATAGCTGAATTTTAGAAATAAGTGGTAGAGATACTAAGATTTGTGTCAGTGATACCAATGGAATTACCTCCATGAACAAAATGAAGTTAATTCACACAGATATTTGATAAATTGAAGTAGGCATTTAGTTACTAGTTCTGAGTTGCAAGTCAACCATAAGTGTTGGGTTTGCCAGGGATTGTCATTTCAGGAGGTGTCAATCTTTTGTCCTATTCTGAGTGCATATTAGACCTAGTCTAGGTTACTAAGCAGCTATTCTAGACATCTGATGCTTGTTTTAAAGGTGGTAAACATTGTGGTGTTTCAAAAGACAATTAAAAGACTTTTTGCCATTAATTTCCACTTTTCTTAATTGCCTGATGATTTTTTAAATCGTCCAATAATTTTATCAAATTTATTTATAGACTTTTAAAAGATGCTGCACTTGTTTTGAAACTAACTTCTAAATTACTTAATATTCAGAGTAATGCATAGCTGTTTAATTAAACCATGTAGAAATAGTTAAGTAGAAATAATTTATTTCAAATTACTTTTAATATCATCCAAGAGCTCCATAATGCTCTTTTACTTTCTGTTTGAAAACAGGCTGGGTCAAATGGTTTAAAAGATAGAGTTGTTACAAAGACTGTTTATTTAGCAGCATTTACAACTGTGATAGAAAACAATGATAATTAAAAACATAAAGGCTGCAAATCTGCAAAATGGCATGCTATATAAAGAGTAATAATAATTGAAAATAATTTTTCAATAACTGTAAAGAAGACCAGGCTAAGATTAACATAGGCATTGGAAGGAAGAAAACAACAAATATCTCTGCATTCTTTTAATAGATCTGAGGTTTTTTCCCTTCTTGAAAAAAAGAAACTCATTATATAGACTTTTGTCACTCTGACAAAGCTGAATGCTTTTTTTCTTGTGGCTTCTCAGTACATCTGTGATTTGGGTGATTGATGATATTGTACAGTATAGTCTTAGGAACACTGGTGTTGAATTAACTCAGTATTTCCTTGATTTTGCAACAGAGACCAAGAGAGAACAGGATAAGGTGCCCAAAAGTACAGTGTAGTTTTGAAAGGAGCAAGCCTGTAAAGTGCTTTTGTGACTCTCTACAGGGGGGCAGTGGGATCCAGAGGTGGATAACTGTAAAAACACATTTCTTTTGGTTAGTTGTCAGAAATTCTGAATAGGTTCTGGAAATACACAGTCAAGCCCAGTTAAAGAAAAAGGTCACATTATAGAAATAACCAAACTATAGCTTGTGTTCAGTAACACAGATGAGAGGTGTAGAATAAAATCCTGATTGTAGAGAAGTCATTAGGAATTGTCCTTGTTTTCAGAGGGACAGGGCTTTTGTCTTTTCACTGTAAAGTTGATAGATATTATTGAGTACAGTTACTAAAAAGAAAAAACTTGAGTCTTGGAGCGTGGTTATACATTATAGAGAGACCTGCAAGGCATTTTTTCATCAAAATATACTTTAAATAAATAGTAAATTCTATTTCTGCAAAAGATTTAGGGGTGTAATGTAATACTTTAGACTTCCAGTCATCACAGCTGAATATTAAATAGTGATGGAAACTGTGCTTGCACTGGGACATCAGTCGCTGTCAGTCTGATCAGTGCCCCTGAGTGATCACTAATCTGGGTTTAGCAGTTTCATACTGGCTGTGTGTCACTACTATTTAATTAATGTAACATTGCTAATCTCAAACCTGCAGTTCAAAATTGTTTGGAAAATGACATTCTGGTGTAATCTGAGCAGCCTGTCTTCATGTGTGTGCTGAGATTTAGGCTTTACATGAAGCTATTGGAGTAATTCTTCAGGGAATGTTCTGACACTGTGCTGTGTTTTTCTTAAAACCAGAATCATTGTGTATGAAGTTTTAACTTATTTTTTTAAGTGTTGCTCTACATCCTTGGTCCAGTACAAAGAGAGGCTGAAGCATAAAGCAGCCTGAAGAGCAGGGTAGTTTGTTTAAGGATGGCTTTGCAGCTGCCTCCTACTCGCAGTTCTGGAGTGACAAAATCCTCTGCCGTGGCAGCAGTGACCTGACAGGCTGTGTGAGCTCCTCTCATTCTGGTGTATTCTCTTCATTAACTTAAATGGTCTCAGTGGGAAACTGGGCCCAATTTATGACCCAGACTGAAAATCTTGCCTTTAACTAATTAACTCGTAGTGGTGCCTCAGCTAAATTAAGCTTAATGGGTCATTTAATCTGTCCCATTGCACAGGAGGAATTTGACACTTTTTTTAAACCAAAGGTGCCCAAAATACTGTTCTGGCAAGTAGACATAAATCATGTGGCCTTTGTGGACAATTAGATACCTAGAGAGAGAAAGAAGGTTCTAAATAAATGATCATTATGTACTTACTTTTGGGAGCAGATAATTTGATTTGGTATGATTAAAATTGATACTTAACAGAAATCACTGGATTGAATTTAACTCTGTCATAGCCCATGGCTGAGGCAGTGTGCATTTTTCCACTTGGAAGGAGTTTATCCTTTCTGGTAGCAGAAAAATGGTTCTTCTCCCAAATGACAGTGCTAAATCTTAGTATTGGACTTTACAGAAAATCTGTTAATGAATCCATTACATAAAACATGTCATAATAAAGAAGTTGGTGACATTCAGTGAGATTTTCAAGAAAATACAAAACCCCCAAATGGGAGGGATTTAAACTTTAGCCACTTGGTTTATTTTTAGAATAGTACAAATATTGAAAATTAACCCCTTGAATTGGATTATAAAAATGTGCATAAAAAGAAATATTGTCTGATCTTTCTTATTTTTATTTTTTTTCTTCAAAAGAAAAGGTGGTCAAGACTATGGACATTCAAGTTTTGTATTAACTGATCTCTAAACTTTGTGGATTGATAAGGCTTTGTCTTCAGGATATATGAGCCATCCCTGTAATGTTCTGCAGTTTATCAGGAATTGTTGCACTCTGTTATGTTAACGTAGTTCTACCTGGAAGGGCTGTTTTTAAGCAGATGCTTGTCTTTTCTCTGCCAAGGGAAAAGACCAAGTAAGGTGGATTTTGACCTATTTTAATTATCAAATGTTCATTTTTTACTTTTTAATTAATTTTTTGGGGTTTATTCAGGTTTTGTTTGTTTGGTTTTTTGTGTCGTCGTTGTCCTTGCTCCCCCTCCCCCCCCAGTGTGAAGGCAAAAATTTCAAAACTTTAATATGACCAATTTCTTCAGATTTTTCAGAGATGTGTCTTTTCAAAGTCATCCTTGCATTTTGTGGTGGGTTTCTTTTTTGTTTGTTTTTTTTTTTGTTTTGCCCTTTTTTTTTTTGCTGTTGTTGTTACAGTAGTTATCTTCAACTTTGAAAGCCAATTTCTGTACTTGGAGTGGGAAGGTAGCAGGTTTTTTCTACCATCTTTACTTTTGCAGTGGATTATATTTCAGGTGAATCTAGTGATGCAAAACTTTTGTAACACAAGGCCCAATTCACCAGTTCTGTGTTTAGTTTGCAGTTTCATGTTTATTTTCTGGTCACAGTATAGAAAATACAGAATTGAAACTTTAGAACCGATGAATTCATCTGCTTCATCTTAACAAAATAGGCTGTATGATACCATCCTCTACCAAATTTGCATTTTTGTATTTAATCAGATTTTCAGAAAAGGGAAATGTGAAAGTTGAATACAGTCAGCATTTCTGGAATCAGGCCATGAAATAGAGCAGTTGCTACAATTGGCTGCCTGCAGATTTGGAATAAAAATGGCTAAAACTTAGGCAAAGGTTATTATTATAAGGTGTTAAGGTTTGTCCTTTTTTCCCCTTCATTATTGCTGAATATTGCTAGAATGAAAAAATGAATTACATGATGATAGGTTCAGTGTCCATAATGTTTGTTCTTTTCTGCTAAAACTATTACATAATTTCCAGAGATGATTGTCAAATTAACAAGTTTCCACTTGGAAACCGTATGGGACCTTATGGCACTGTGCCAAATCACTTCTCATTTCAAATATGAGGCTGAAAACTAAAGGTCACTGAGGAAATTTCTCATTTTGGAAACCAAGACATCTGAGCTATCATTCAGATATTTAAATGTTAAAATACAAATCCTTATTTTAAATTAGCTAGGTGTAATAAGCCCTTCCTTACATGAAAATGCATAATTTTCACCCAAATGTCAAAATAATTTGACTTTAGAAGGAAGTAGAATTCCCATGTATCAAATTCAGATTGAATTTTTTCAACAGTTCCACATAATTAAAATAGAACTTCATTTTACAATAGAACTTATCTTAAACTGGCATTAGCTGCAGTTGCTTCACATTTGACTCAAACTTTGTAGTGCTCACCCACGTGCAGCTCCTCTGCCATTATATGAAGCTCCAGCTCTTTTTGAAGGTCCTGATCAGTGCATTTAAAATTCAAAGAGACACCCTGCAAAGCAGAGGCTGCTTGTGTTTCATTTTCCCTTCTTCTGCATGTCCCCATTCTATTTCCAGAACTCCCTGTACCTGTGAAATAATCCTTTCAGTTTAGTGAGGGCTTCTGCCCTTCCTCCTGTTCCCTCATCCTCGCCCAGTTCCTTTCTGTGGGGCTGGATTGGGAGCACCATGAAGGCTGGGGGGGATGCAGGAGGGAGGCTGGGCTTGTGTAAAGAGAGTGAGTGTGTAAAGAGTGAGGACCCAGGGCCATGTGGCACTGTGCAGTACTTTGTGAGTGGGATGGAGGTTTTCTTGTGTGGATTTTTTTTTATTTTATTTAATGTCTTTGGTTTAAGTGGCAATTCGTTCATTCTTAAGTTCATTCATTTTTAAGTCTTTATTGATATTCTACTTTTTTCCTGAATGAAATGTGTGCTTCCTTTCCTTTTACCATCTGGCAAATTTTGTTTTATCCACCTGGTCCATAATAAATATTGTGTTTTCAGGCAGTAGGTCTCCCCTCTCTGCTCCCATTTTCCAGCCTCCTACTTCTTCTGTGCTTGGTCACAGAGAATTTTGATGTTAACAAACTACTGACCGCTGAGAGGAGACATGGATCTCAGTATCTGTTTTCCTTTATTTGTTCTAATAATAATTAGGAGACCTAGGAAAGTAGAATTTAGAATAACTGACTGAATATTGTTCTTCAGTACCCAAAAAATGACTGTTTAGTCAGTGAAATCCCATTTGGTTTCCTAGAAGACATTGTTTCAAATGATTTTGTCTCGTGTTGCTTCCTACAAGGGGAAAAAAATCAGCTGGGGGAGAGTTTTTCACTCCAGGAAGCTTTTTCTTTCTCATTTTTTTAAAAAAAGTTTATCATGCTGTAATCATGTCTGACATAATATGGTTAAAGTCAGTCCTGTGTATAACTTACTGGTGAACTTACATATTTATTTTTACAGGTGTATAAACCATTTTCTGTCTACAGATGGATTAGTGTAGGTGTAGCTGTCCTGGCAGATGTTGTTCCATTATGTTGTTCTATTTCTATCTGCCAAGCAGAGTATATCAGTAAAATTGCTACATAATTTTAAATCAATAGTTCTGACATAAATGAAGGTATTTTAATGTACCTTTTGCAAAAATTGCTGTTTGTTAATGGCAGAAGAACCACAGAAGTGATCAGCTAACTAGTTTGGTGTGATTTTCTATATTAGAATTAAAAAAGTCCCAGATAAATGGCTCAGGAGTATGTATTATTTTTATTAACGTGCATTGAATTCTGCAGGAAACTGCATACTTGGGTTCATATTGCATAGTTTGTTGCTGAATTAATGAAAGCTGTGTATTTTAAGTGTTAGGATTTATGTGCTTGGTTTTCAGCTTTTGGGGATTTGATCAGAATAAGAACTTCCATCTTGAAAAAATAAATTGAAATTGTTAATTTTTTGAAAAATGCTTGACAGAAAAGTTCTTACAGAAGCATTGTGTTTTGTGAATACGGTATTTTGGAAGACACAATTTATTTGAACTTCCTCTTGCAGGCTTCTTTATAGTTTAGCCTTTAATGCCAGATTCCTGAGGCATCTTTGGTATTTGATATCTTCAATGACTACACGAATGATTACAGGGTATGTATTGTGCCATTTCTGAAACTGAGTCTTTGTTAAAATAGAGCATATCTAGTGAAAAGGGAATGGGCCAGTTAGAGGTATGATTACTTACCTCCTGTGATTTCATAGAACAGAGCAAAATCTTGGAAATTGGGCAGTTGTAAATAAAGAAAATACTTATTTAAAATAAGTTGAGTATTTTGTAGTTTTTGAAGTGCTTACCAGCATCAGTGTAACAAACACCAAAGCCCCAAGTCCTTCATCCCAAGCGTGGGAGTTTTATTTTGCGTACTTTGACTTGTCCAGAAATTGGTGGTGGCAGAAACGTGTTCCCAGGAACTGAGGCATTGGACCTGCAGATGTGTTTGCTGCCATGCAGACCAGTTACTCTCCTTGCTTTGTGTCTCGAAAGTGTCTGCAGTCTGTAGCAGATAATGCCAAAGTTTATCCATCATGGAGACACTGAGATTTCAGTGACAAGAACTTGCAAAGAGTAACCTCATTTTGCAAGAACTGGAAGTAGTTATTTATCTGGAAGCACTGTTGTTATTTTGCTGTAGGAGCCACTGCCATGTTGTTTTACTAGAATGCTGAAGATAATGTTTTTTAGCATATTTAATTAACCAGCTCTTTTATATTGCATTTTATATTTTAAGGTCTATGGTGCCACTCCTCCAAGTGATTTCAAGAGGCTCTCCAATGTCTTTAGAAGACTCCAGCCGAATTATCCCTCTCTTCTACCTGTTCAGTTCTTTGTTTAGTCATTCACTCATTTCTATTCATGATAACGAATTCTTTGGTGATCCAATAGAAGGTGAGTTTCAAGCCTACTAAATAGCAGTACTTTGCAAAATGTTTTAATGTGAGGCTGGAGTTCCCTGGGCAATAATTTGCTGACATCTTGAGGAAGGCTCTCCTGGGCTGACTTGCTGATGGTCCCCTGAGCACTCAGCTGTCAACTGGCTTTCATGGTGATTGCCTTTAGAAAAAATAGAAAAAAATTGATGGTCTGCACATTGGGAACTGTAGCTTTACAGAGTCTGCTATGGAAGTTATTAATCATGATAATTTTTAATGAGTTAGTGAAGAGAGTGAACTTCTTCTGGACTGAACCTGTAATCTAATGTGTAAATTTAACATAGCAGGAATCACAAAAGAGAACAAGAGGATATTGTAATTAAAATAATTGTGACTGCAAAGAGTTCCAAGACTTGATCTTTATAAATGTTTACTGATTCTGTTTTTGGGTGATGTTTCTTTTCTCTACCTTTAGGTTTTGTGTGTGAATATTAAAGTTACAATGAAATAAGTGTTGGTTTAAAATAATGCAATAATTAAGAGAAAGTCAGTTAAGGAAACTTAAACTTGTGTTTTATGTAGCTGTAGGTCAAAGACAATCATCAATGATGCCTTTTACACTAGAAGAGCTTGTAATATTATCACGCTGCCTTCGAGATGCATGTCTAGGAATCATAAAGTTGGCTTACCCAGAAACAAAGCCAGAGGTCCGTGAGGAATATATTGCAGCATTTAGAAGTGTTGGAGTAACAAAAAATACAGAAATGCAGCAATGTATCCAGACAGAGCAGAAGAGATGGATTCAGTTATTCAAGGTAAATTGTGTCAATTTTCAGAACGTACTTAGATACAATTTTCAGGCTTCTGCCAAAGGTAGGAGATTACTTGTTTTTTTCTCTCTAATTTTAATGCTGTTGTAACAAGGAATATGGATTTGGGTAGGTTTCTGTTTGGCATATATGCTAAACTTTGAGTAACTTAATTGTGATAACTAACACATTTTTTTCCTTCTGGCAACTCTTAATTTTCTTGCTGATATTGTTTATAAAAAAGTTACTGTATAAAATATGGGGTTTAATTTGGGCTCCCATTCAGCGAGGTACTTAAGCACGTCATCATAACTTTATGGAGGTGTGAAATTCTAAGAGAATCTTATGATTACTCAGGAACTTCTGTATTAGAGACTTCACTAAATTGCTACCATGCTTTATTGGTTTGGTTGGTGTTCCACTAAAATCTGTTGATACTACTCCTTTTGGATTTGCTGGAATATTAACGGGAAGGTGAATCTGGCTTAGAAGATGAGAACTTAATGTATGATTTTTCTGGATACCTACCAATGTATTTCTGCTGGTTTTATCCATGGCATCCTACCTAATACATGAGTTAAGAGAAGCTGAAAACGTTGGCAGAAAAAAAAAACCCTAATATAACTGTTGCTGAAAAAAAAAGGAGTGCTTGACTTGTCATGAAAATTCTGCAGCAAACACATCCAGTCAGCTAAAATTGCTCATTAAAGAAGTGGGAGCAGAAGAAATGCATTTTCCAAATTGAATGCTAGATTTACAGTCTGTTTAATACTGGTGACCTCTCGCACACTAATGTTCGGTTCGAGTCATCAGCTGTCCCTTCAGGTCTTTTATCACTGCTTTTGTCAAGCTATCTATTTAATTGAAAGAAGTTAATTGAATGAAAATGATCAACTAAGCTTGTATTAATATTGCTAATGGAACTTTCTTCTTGGCCATGTTTGGAGAAAGATGTCATGCTAGACTTTAGGAAAGGCCCATTAAGGCTTGCACTTAACCTGATGGGCTAATTAAGGAATGCTTATTCATTCTACAAGTCTAAGATAGCCTCTATCCAACCTATTCTGCCTGATTTTACAACACATTTCACTTATGAGCATAAGCATTAATAGCAGTGAGAGTAACTGATAATGTTTTGATTGCATCGAATACAGTCCTAATGCACCACTGAATTTGTAATTTGCACAGATTGATCTAATATATGTTTGCACAGTTTAATTTAATTACTTGTCTTTAAATTGCAAATAAACTTTCGATTTAAAGGTCACAAGTGAAAAACCTCAATGTGTCTACTTTTCTAAGAAAGATGGCATGCCAGGGGTATTTTCACATATGCAGTTCATATCATGCCATCTTCTATTTGTTTGCTTTAGTTCATTAATCAATCTTTGTGTAGGCTGCATAGATTTCAGGTGAATTTGAACATATTTTGCTGTGATTCAGGAAGATGTAAAATCCCGAGTTGTTCTGTCCCACTTTGGCAGTCAGGAATTAAACTTGTAGTGGAACTGTTTTCAGGAGCCAGGGTTGCCTTCCATTAGCTGAATTAGAAATGTAAATCTTAAAGATATGTCTTTTCTACCCACAAAAGAAGCAGATATCAAAGCTTCCCTTGTTTACTTCTTCAGAAACATTACAGATAAAAATTGAACACGGCTTAAGTTAATCTCTTGTGCTACTGTTCATAGCATGGAGTCGTTCCTGAGGGTAACCTCGAAACAGCTTCTTGCCATAAGCAGGCAGAAATGCCTTCTTCCAAATCATTAAAACAAAGCTAAAGTATTTCATTATAAATTTAAGTAGAAAATACTTTTTCTTTCTTTTACATTATGTCAAATATGTATATATATAAAATATATTAAATTTATCTTTGCTAAAGCTTTTGCAAGCTGCCTGCAGACAAAAAGGCACTTCCCTTCCTTATCTGTGCTTTTAATTTCTTTTTTTCCTTTTTTCTTTTAATTCCCCACACTTGTTTTGCCTCTGGTGTCTCATGAAATACATATGTATACATATGAAATGAATGAAATATATATATTCATATATATTTATATATATATTCACACGTGTGCACACAAATATAGGCTTTACTTCTGCAAGGTAAATGTAAATCTGATAACATGGAGGCTGCTGACAATAATTTGCATATTTGCTAACAAACTGGAGGTCATTGGTAAGATTTATATGGGCAGATGTCTTCATTCAGAAGAATCCCCCATTTTTGGCTTTGTGTAATAATGAGTGGTGTAGTCAATTGTTACAGATTCCATAGAGAGGCTTAAGTTAGTACATGAAAATGAATTTTGTCAAATGAAATAATTATTTCACTATCTTGAGTTAATCCTATGAAATCAAGTTGCTAATTTTGTTGAATTTTAGTTTACATGTTACTTGCACTTGACAGTATTGGAAAGAAATCCTCATTTTAATATTATTTATTGCATTGCATCTTCTTTTTCAATAGAATACATACTTCAGAAATTTTTTACAAAGGAGTCCTGAGTTGAGGTAACAAATGTTCTCAGTACCCATGCGTTCTGCAGGAGTAGCTCCAATCTCACTTAATTTGATTCAGCTTCCTTTAGGGTTTCTTTAGCTGCTTGTAAAATATTTTATTCATGTAGTCTTCACATGGATAGTCTTTTCTGATTTTATTTTCCTTTTTAAAGATGTTTATCTTACTTAAAGTGGTAATGAGACCACAGAGTTTCAGTGACTCATCTAACCTGCACTGAATTTTATAAGGGCAAGGTGATGAAAATTCCTGTGTAATCAGACAATTCCCTTAATAGCATTCTTTGTTCTGTCTTCATTCAAGATGTTACTCTAAAAACTGAATGTTAAAAGGTCTGTTGTGTAGCATCTAGACACAGAATCCTTTGGAAGGCCTATTAAACTCTATTACTCCTGACACCTGCCCATTAAGACTATCTTTTAGCAAGATTGTTTCAGAAAAGCTTTGTGTACATTTTTTTCTATTAATTTTTCAAGTGCTGTACTTACAAGTTGCAAAACAGAAGGCTGTTCATTGTAGCAGTGATAATGTCTTTTTAGGCTAGTAATTTAATATTCTGTTGATTCCACTTAGTTATGGTTTATGTAGTGTTGGCCTGATGTGGTTCAGCTTTGGACAGCAGGTATGCCACCCCATACATATGCAACCAAGTATGGCAGTTGTGCTTGAGGTGGAGTAGTTGTTAGCTTGGTATCTGTACTTATTTTTATTTTTGGTCCTGGATTGAAGGAAACTGCCAAGAAAAATACTAAAGTTGCAAAGACACCCTAGTGACCATGATAACTTTTTTTTTCAACCACCCAGTTTTGTTAGAAAGATATGAATAAACCAGTTATCTGTTCAGTTTTCTCATTTCCTGACTGTATGGTTATAATAGTAACAGAACTGCCTTGTATTATTTGAATTTCTTATGAATAAAAATGAATTAAACATAGTGGTTTCAGCTAATGTGCTTGTGGTTGGGAGAAGTGCAGTTGTGTGCATCATCACCTCCTGTGGTTAAGCTGATAACCAAAATTTGTTAAACTGCTGTCACTAGGTGGTTCTCAGGTAAATGCTTGTACCTTCTGTTGGGAGAGGCCTTACTAACTTACTAACACACTAAGGGGCTACTACCTAACACATTTTTGTTTGAAAATAACATTACAATAATACACCATACATGTGCACAATAAATTAAAATTACAAGCCACCCCACACATATTTTTAGGACTTCTTATGGTAATCACCAGAAGACCATTTGGTAACCATCCTTTTTTGTGGAAATGGTCATCTTGCAGTCTGCTTTCAGGCATATTTGGGCTGGGCCCTTTTCAGAAGTGACTTTACTTTCAGAATCTGCTATGTTGAACCCTTTAGCAATCTTGTGGTAGGGTTTACTGTGCAGTATAAACAACTGAGCTAGTCACACTGGGATCTGTTTCAATAGAGACAAGAACTTTGAGGGTACAGTTAATTTGATAAATTGTTAGGTGCTTCTGGGTGAGATGATGTTTATTTCTCTTAGCCACCTTTGAAAATGCTAAAAAGCTATTCATTGACAAGAAGAGAACCTGCAGTGTATTTTCATATGTAGAGCTTTACCCTTAAGAATATCAGCACTTGTTTTTTCACACAGCTGATCACCTCGGTGTGTGGTGAGGTGATGTCATCAGCAAATTCCTCAGACTACTTCAAGGCTCCTTTAGCTGGAAATGCTTTATTTTGTTAATGCAGCAACCAGTAGTAGTTCATTTTTCATCTACTTTAGAGATGTAACTTTTGCTGTTATGTTTTATTGGCAGTTGAATGTTTCTGCCTTCTCTCCTTTCTGAAGCTGATGTTTGCTTTTGTACAGTTTGGCCACTGAGAAGAGCATCACAGGTTCTGCTGGTTAGTTAGTCAAATTTATTGACTGTGGGCAGAAATACTCACTGTTTATTAGTTGATCCCTCAGATTTGCCTAATGTGGAAGGATCGATGTGACCTTTGAGACAGAAGCAGAAGTTCCTTTCTTCTGTGGAGCATTTTGCCTAAAAAAAAAATTAAGACTCTCTCTCCATGTGGACAAAGAAAACCTAAAAATCAACCAAATTGTTCAGAATCTCTTGTTTTGGAGTGAGTGGTAGGAAAGAATAGCTGTATAGTTCTCTCTTCCAAAACATGTATCTATTCACACATTTAATTACTGAAAACATATATCAGCAAAAAAAAAAAAAAAAAAAAAATGGTATAAGTTACCTGGCTAGGTGTTATTGTTTTAAATAAGTAATTTAATGTTAGTAATGATTTGTTTAGGCTTCCCTGAACTGGCATGCAACATTTAGGTGTGCAGTCTTACTAAGTCCTATGCAGTCCTGGTTATTAGTTTTTTGAACGAGACTTTAATAAGCCATTTTCTTTTTGATGACTTACAAGTGAACCTTGATGACTTACTTGCATTCTGAGGTATTAAGTCTAAGAGCAATTTTTTGTAAGTTAAAAATAAGTAACATTTTCATATGTTACTGTTTTTCTTTAAAAAAGTTTTTGCTTGTGGACTGTATAATTTCATTCACATTGCTAAATGTAATGGATGTGTTTCTGACTCCTAGGTCATCACAAACTTAGTGAAAATGTTGAAATCTAGAGATACGAGGAGAAATTTCTGCCCGCCCAATCACTGGCTCTCAGAACAAGAAAACATTAAAGCAGATAAGGTAAGAGCCATGTCCTTTTCCACAAAGCCTTACAGGTGCCAAAGTTTCAGTGGTAGAGGGTTTGATTCCTGACAGTATCACTGAGGTTGATGTTGAACAGATTGTGTGGTTTAAAACCTGGAGTAATGTTGCTTTTCTCTAACATAAAAGTCTTGGATCTGTTAAGAAACTTCTACGTTAAATCACATTTCCAATCCATAAAGAAAAACTTGCTCTACAATGCAATGGTGTAAGCAATTTGCATTTGTAACAGAGAAGAACTGAAAATCTGGTGGCATTTTATTGCTTTTTCTCATAGTAAGAATGCTAAATAAAAGAATTGCTCTGTAGTGGGGAAAACACCCTCAAAGTTCTCTTCCAAAATAAAAGAAAATTCATTAACATTTTCTGTACCTAGAAATGACTTTTTTGCTAAGAGCTTTTTAAAAAAATGACATTGGGCTTAAAAAGTGTGTATGTGAGTGCAAAAGAAAAAGCTGATACTAAAGTGCAAGTGCATCCTTTGAATCATCGAAAACCTGGAGTTTAGGAGTCAAGTTACACCTCAGGTTGCCTTGCACATTAGATGGCTTAACAGTTGGAAGCTTTGCATGGAATAGTTAAAAGTGAACTTTTCTGTTTATTTTTGATGGTTGCACATTTGCTTGCCTTGTGTTTAAGATCCCCATTTCTCTGTATTCCTTATAATTTGTAGGAAATAGTGCCTACACACCTTAGGGAAAGTAGTAGTACTCTTGAACTCTGGTGCTAACCTGATTCTCAGTACAAAGTAAACAGAATTTTTTTGACATCTCAAAATTCAAATTGAGCTTCTGTAGTATCTTAAATACCAAAACTTAATATTTTTTTAAAAAAATACATGGACTTTATATTATATTGTTGTTAATTTTGCAACTCAGCTTTAAGGCACAAGTATAAGGAGGAATAATTAGAAATGAAGATCTTTAGGCATTCAGACACATTTTTGGATGTCACAGCTATATATATTTACTATGTAATAGTAGTTTATAATGTGTAATTACATAATGTTTAACTGTAAAATGCTGCTAATTTATTAGGTCACACAACTGTATGTACCATCAGCCAGACATGTCTGGAGAGTCAGAAGAATGGGAAGAATAGGACCACTGCAATCTACTTTGGATGGTAAGATACTGTCTATGCAATTTTTGCTTTGATAAGTCAAAATAACAGTTTGCCTTTTGCAAAGAAAATCTACCTCTTCTAGAGCTCTGTTGAGTATTTTGTATTGAAGTCTTGGTAGCCAAAAGCAAGGCAATCTTTCATAATTTTGTTTCACATATTTTAAAAAATAGTGTATTTGTATACACGTGGGTATGTCTTTAGAATAATGAATGTTATTTAATAACAGCTTTACCTAAGCTTCTGCTGGCCTGGATGAGGGGAAATGATGAGATGGACAAACAATATGTTTTAAAAATGTATGTATTAGTATGTATAAAATGCAATTGCATAAGATAGAAAATTAGTGCAGTTGCTGAAGATGTAGAGAATTGAGGTTTTGCTTTTACTGTTTACTATAAAGAAGCATCTTCATTATATGTTAAACTGTAACAAGCTTAACATGGTAAATGTTAATTACTATTTATAATTATTGTCTCTAATTAGATAAGAAACCTAACCCCCTGAATTATTTAAAATATCTGGGTTTTGTGGAATACTTCTAGAGAAAGATGAGAGAATTGGACAAACTTAGCAGTCAGGGTAAATTTACACTAACTTAGTTGTGCCAATATGCTTTCTCATGTAGCCAGTCTGTTTCTTTGAGCTTTTTAGGCACACTATTCTAGAATTTTACCTTGCTGTGCTCAGGTAAAATAATCATTAAATCACTAATGCTTGTGCAGGTTTGATAATGAATTAAAAATGGGGCCTTTAAGCAGCAAAATGATCTATCTGCAAGAGCCCATACTCTCTTTCAAGATGATGTAATCTGCTCGAGTTAGCTTAGCCATATACAGTAGATCATGTAGAGAAGACTGCAGCCTTTGAATGCTGCTATAGAGTTGTACAGAATGAAGAGCTTTGTCCAAGGTTGAAACCTAAGGGCTTCTTATAATGATACTTTTTATTTGAGTAGCTATGATGGTAAAAGTTTCCTTTGATTACCTTATTAGTGTAGTTGCCAGATAACAACTGGTTAGTCTGGTGTAATTATTCCTCAGAATTTTGAATAGTACGTTTTTTCAGTTTACTATCTTTCTTTATAAATCACCTATTTTAATTGATTGATAATATGAAGTCTTAAAAGCAGGTGGTTTTAGCAAAAATAGCCAGGCTTCAGCAGGCCTGTGTTCTGTGTAGCTTACAGACTCCACATCAGCAATCCGTGTTTCTTCACTGACCTGTGTGACTCTTGACAGCTGCATATACTGTCTTGATGTTCTCCACTGTCAGACCTGTTCCACACTTAATACTTCCACATTCTCCTGCTACTAGTCTCCTTCCCCTCATATATACAGTATCTTTAGCTCTCTCACTTGTCTTCCTTCCCAAAATAGCATCAGTTCCCTCCATTTAGTTAGTTGCCTTGGTCTGGGCAGTTGGTGGATAAGGAATGCACATGCTGTGGTTCGAGTGGAGCAGCTGCACGCCCTCACTTTCCTGGCTGGCTGTCAGACAGCTGACTCTCCTTGCTGTTTCTGTGTTCAGGTCACTAAAGGAATTTCTCTTCTCTGTCCAGTTGAAAATTTTCACAATGCTTGAATATCCCGTTCTCTGTCAAAGTTAAAGTTCAACTGATTAGCTCAAAAGATGTGCTGGAGGCAAGATGGTGAAGAAAGGTGACAGATACAGTGTGTTCATGTAAACCTCATTTTCATATGAAATCAGGCTAAAAAAAAAAGTGCAATCAACATGAATGTGTGAAAACAAGCAGGTAACAGTGTGCACGACTTGTTTAATTCCTCTTGACTCCATATGGGTTAAAGCCAATTAGCATGAAAGTACTGCTGAATCACATATGGTCATGTTTATTTGTGCTTTTTCATTTACTTAAATGGCAGACTCGTGAGCTCTAAATGCCCTCTGTATTGATGACTCCATCCCATATTTCTCTTTAAAGAAAGAAGCTGTGATGGAGAAATGCAGATAAAATTGACTAATTGAGTGAAATAATTGAACTGTCCAAGTCATGTAGTAGTTTACCTTTGCTGTACATGCACTTTTTATTTAAAGTGCTTTTAACTGTTAGCTTAATAGGCTGCATACATTGACTTTAATTAAAAATGTTTACTAAGTAAACTAAGGGTAATCACAGATAAGCATTTTATCAGAAATTCCAATGGGTTGCAATGTTGAAATCTGACCCAAATGAATATACATCAAATATAGTGATATTTTGAGTCATGTCCTATTAAATTTGTGCTTAAAATATCACTACTTAAAGTGCTTTGAGGAGTTAAAAAACAAAAAGCCAAAAGAACATTCAAGTGGTGTCCACTTACAGAAGGGCAGCAAGATGCTTGTCACCACTGGTAGGAGCCAAAGGAAAAAACTTGAAACTGTCATCATGAACTTGCAGACTGGGTAGTGACACACAGAACATTTACTTATTTTGTAATCTGGTCTATGAATAATCTAGACTCTGGAGTCTTTTTTCAGAAAGTTGGTTATTAAAGGTGAAAATGAAACAACATTGAGTGTTGTTTCCTCTGTAGACTGAAGCCTAGGTGGACCTTTAACCACAGTGTCTAGTCAGAGAACAATACTTTTTGCAGTTAATTAATTCATGGCATGATATGTGCTCAGCAGCTGAGTTTCCTCCCATGAAGTTAAAACAGAATTATCACTTCTACACTGCATCACCCAAAGTTGAGTTGTTTCCTAAAAACATCCTCTGTGGGCATGAGAAGGTTCAGAGGAGGTGCACAGTAGCTTGGGAACTGCATGTGAGTGAGTCTCTCTGCTGTGGCTTCTTGAATTCTTCTCTAGTATTTTTTTCTTAAGTACATTATGCAGTTTCTTGATGATGTTTTCACTGTTTCTGCTGTGACTAGGATTTAATGTGATCACTGTGACCTTGGGAGAGAAAACTCATTGCAATTAATGCTTTCTGTTCATTTCATGAGATTTGGTTTATTTCTCAGTTTTTTTGCCTAAAATGACTCGATTGAATCTAGATGATGTCGTTGAAAGCACAATAACTTTAAACTGTATTGATCATCAGGATGGGAATATTGTGTATTCCTGTGATGAGAATTCTAAATCATTACAGCTTCCTAATTGTCTTCTATCACATATTTTTTTCTTAATTCAAAATCTGAAATTCAGGAATAAGAATTTTTTTTTAAAGAATAAACTAAAGAGATACAGAAGTACTTATTTTTATATGCATTTTGTGTGTTTTCACTACTTATATTTCAGTTTGCCTGTAGCATCTAATGTTTAAAGAAAGGTAAGGCTTTGTATGACTAAGTAGTAAATAAACTATTTTAATGTATATATTTTTATACAAAGTAGATTGAATCACTTGATACAAAATAAACTGTTTAAAAAATGTTCTTTCCAAAATTTTTAAAATTATTATTTCTGTTTTAAGTGGGTTTGGAACCAGCACCTCTTTCTGTATCTGAAGAACGACAACTTGCAATTCTGACAGAGCTACCTTTTGTAGTTCCTTTTGAAGAAAGAGTAAAGGTACCTAATTTCTAATTTAATATGCAATTTGTTTTTTAGTTTTTTGTTTTGAGTAAGTGTAAAAAGAGCACTTAGTGAAGTAGGAATTGGATCAATTCCCTGCAGAGGGCTATGGCAGTCTGTACTGTTTTTCTTCAGTGCTCATAGCAACTGAACATTTAATAACTTTCCTCTTATTTTACTAGTTACATCGCCCTTTATAATGATTACATTAGAATTAGAATGCTGCTGTGTATTCCAAGTTACACAGCAGCAGTTTGCATGCTCAATTCAATGACTGACCTAAGTGATTGCACCCTCTTGTGGTTGCAGAGCACTGACCAGTTGTGTGTCTGTAAGGAACAGATGGCAAGGTCACAACTGGAGGCTTTTGAGCGATGGGTGGGTTTGCTCAGAATGAGATAATGGATGTTCATTCAGGAAAAATAATGCCTAGAAATTAAGTTCCTGCATTCATAGCTGAGTAGCTGAACTTCAGTGGAGTATGTAGCTTAAAACTTGCAAGATTCTTGTACTTGGTTGATTGGATTTGCTTTTGGATGTTTTTTAGATTTTATACATGTAATTGTTAGTTCTACTATGTATTTCTTTTTGCCTCATAAATATTTTTAAAGCTTTTACTCTGTTATGCACATTTTAAGTGGTTTTGTTGTCAACAGTATCAATTGTTTAAAAATTGCTCCCTGAATTGTCTTGGAAACATTAAGTTTCAAGACACCATCAAGGGAATGAAGAAGAATTCCATAGGGAAAGCCAGTCTGTATTTTTCAAAAAAGACAGTGACAACTTTGGTAGAAAATGAGTGATTTTTTTCCAGGCTTCTACGAAACAGTTTATCCAACAAACATCTTAATACTGTCTGGTAGTATTGCACTAGGATTACAGGGAAACAATTGGAAGTGACCTCGGGCAGGAATCTCTATGCCATGACTTAGTCATTGCCTGCAGCCTCTGGACGTCTCAAAGCTGTGTTAAGATGCACATATATTGTTTCTGGAATGCATAAAACTTTCTCTGGTGCAACAAAACCTTGTGTGGTTTTATCACAAAAACTGAAATAACCATTGCATCAGAGCTTGGAGAGAGGGATAAAGGTATAGACTGAACTTTTATACTGCATTGTGGACCAAATATGGATGGTCCTTTTTGTGTCATAGGAGGAGTCAACATTCCTTTGGAGTCTCCCACTGCCTCTACAAAGCAGCTTGCAGTAAGGGAAGAAAATACCACATCAAGACCATAATAAGTTTTGTTTTTTCTTTTAATCAGTTGCCATTTATTACTCTGTAATTTATTGTGGTAATACAGCTCAATGCTGTTTGTGTGTGAGGAGTGTTCCATATGTCCTTTCATTTTCTGACTTCTTCATGAGATTTTTACCTTGAATTACCAGATAACAGATACTCCTACAAGCAATTACAGAGTCCAGTTTCATGGTGGGCTTTCAGCCTTCTGACCCCAGGGAATATTATCCTCTTTAGCCTTCAGGCACATTGGGATTGTGCCTTTCAGTGTGATATTTGCCTGTGGGAGGTAATGAATCCAATTTGTATCAAGTGCATTGGTTCTCACCTACTTAAACCATACTTTGGTCAGCTTGCCTATGGTGATGTTAATTCCTGTGTTGTGTGCTTCAGGCAGCATTGCTTACTTTTCATGGTAAATGAAAAATCATTGTAAATGCTTCAGTTATGCATTAAGGTTCTTGTTTTCAGAACTAACATCTGCATGAACTCTGGGTTATGTAGGAGTCAGACTCAGTACCAAGAAGAGTTTTGCTATGAGAAACCTGCAAGTATTCTTTCCATCTAGAGTTGGGTAACAATAAACTGTATCTAGTCATGCTTCAGGAAGGAGAGTGGTGGTGAGCATATTCTCATGTCCTGTACATAGAATGAAGGTGCCCGTGGCTATGTGTGTTCATGCTGTAAAACGAGACAAATTTAGGTCAGCAGGAACCTCTGGGGATACTCTAGCCCACATCCTTCCTCATAGAGGAATAACTTCAGAGTTGGATCAGGGTGTGCAAGGACTTGTCGAGATGAGTTTTGACTCTTTCCAAAGATGGAGATTTCACAAACTCTCATATAACCTCTTCCAATACTTAATCACTCTTACTATGAACTTTTTTCTTTACATCCATTCATTGTTTCTCTTTCTGCAGCTTAGGACTGTTTTCTCTTGTCTTCCTTCTGTGCACCTTAGGGAAGAATCTGGCTTTGTCTGTATTATAATCTTCCTGGTTGGAGAGCATCTTCTCTACCAACAGCAATTGCCCATAGAAACAGTAGATTTGGAACCTTACTCTAGTTTTGTCTGCTGTGGTCAGATTTCCTCTTTCATGGTAAATTTATTGGTTTGAAACATCCCTGCAGACTCTCACCTTATCTTCTTAGTTAAAAAACTGTCTGAGATGTTATTGGGAGATTACATCCCTTGGTAAATGTACTAGACTATTTATTGAGTATGGTAGTGGTGCCAAGAGAGAATACAGTAAACATACACTCCCTGAATGGAGGGAATATTATTATACATTAGATAACCCCCTCCTGTGCTACATCTTGGCATAGAAGCACAGTCAGCTACAGGTACTCTTCAGGTGAACAAGTTGTTGTGAAGACTCGAAGAGGGACAGCATGAAATTCAATTTGTACTTCACTTGGCATAATTTTTTTTGGTTGGTCTGATGCTCTGGTTCTTTTTTTAATGTGGCAGTGCTATCCGTGATTTTGCTTTGAATTATTTGTTCACTGCCTGTGAGAGGGGAATTGATACCTAATTTCTTATTACTGGGAATGTTCCTAAGCATTGCAAATGGCAACAAAAAATTATTTAGTAGTATTGAGGATAAGCTCTGTGTGTGCAAAATACTCATGACTTTTTCCCTTTATTTTTGAATACTTTGCATTTCAGAACTCTGAAAGTTAGGGAGAGAAAAGTGGAATCACTGGCACGATGTCTGTAGATGTGCCTCTTTTTGTAAAAAGAACTGAGGATGATATCTTAGCACAAAGAAATTTTGTGCATATCTGTCCACTCTTCTTCCCTCTCCTCAGTCATTGCTCTGTATTAAGTTTCTGCAGCTCAGTGAGAGAGAAGACAAATCACTTGAAAGTGACTTCCAGAGGCAGCTCAAAGGACAGTAACAGTAGTGAATAACCATCTCTCATTGAATATTTAGATCTGCACAGTGACATGATTGCTCTTTTCACCCATTTCGACAGATTTTTCAAAGACTAATCTATGCTGATAAACAAGAAGTTCAAGGAGATGGGCCATTTTTGGATGGAATTAATGTCACTATCAGAAGAAATTATATTTACGAAGACGCTTATGATAAACTTTCTCCTGAGAATGGTAGGTTTACAATTAAGTTATCAGCTTGTTTATAACACATAACTGTTCTTACCTTGTAGTTACATATTTGCTTACTTGACTAGTATGTTATGGGTATATCTGCTCTGAGGTGTGAAAGTTTGTAAAAAGCTAAATTTCCTCATTTTTACATAAGTAATTTCTGATTATTGCAGTCTCATTCTCTTTCCAACCTACTTTTATGGGGCTTTTTTCCCATTTACTTGTCCAAATAACTGTACTTTGTATATTTATCTGTGTAGTTCATTAGATATTATCTGCTTTGGTGATCTTTGCCAGCATATACCTATGGACTGAAGAGGATTTGTGAGGTACAACAGAGCTGGTGAAGGCTCTGGAGCACAGGTCTGAGGAGGAGTGGCTGAGGGAGCTGGAATGTTTAGTCTGGAGAAAAGGAGGCTCAGGGGGGACCATATCACTCTCTACAACTCCCTGACACGAGGTTGTAGCCAGGTGGAGGTCTGTCTCTTCTCCTGGGGAAGTGATAGGGCAAGAGGAAATGACCTCAAGTTATGCCAGGGGATGTTTAGATTGGATATTAAAAAAATCACCACAGAAGGGGTTGTAAAGCGTTGGAACAGGCTGACTCGAGAAGTGGTGGAGTCACCATCTCTGGAAGTGTTCAGAAAATGTGTGGATATGGCACTTAAGGACATGATTTATTGGCAGTCGTGGTGGTGGTGATGGTTGGACTTCATGAACTTCAAGGTCTTTTCCAACCTTAATGATTCCTTGAGTCTATATATACAGTGCTGTCCAGTGTGTACTCACACGAGCCAGGGCTCTGTGGACTCAATGGGCATGCAGTGCTTATTGATGGCTCCTTCAGGCAGGAGAAAGCTGAATCTTGCACTCAACAATATTTTACATCAACAGAATTTTCAAATTATTCTTGGACCTTTTTTTAAGTATCTTGTAGGATTTTTTTTCTTCCTCTTTCCACTTTTTCTTTCAATGACTCTTAAAGCAAGACCCTGTCTACAAAATGAGTTTCACAAACTGGATATTCCAAAATTCAAGCCAGTAATGGACTTTTGCTACTATGTATTAGTTCACTTTTTAATATAACATCTGATATGTTTGTATGTGTGGCTACATGTGTTTTTATCCAAACAAAACTGAAGCAGATGGTTGCATTTGAATTTGTCTCTCTTTCTCTGCAGAACCTGACCTAAAAAAGCGCATTCGTGTTCATTTACTTAATGCTCATGGTCTTGATGAAGCTGGGATTGATGGTGGTGGGATTTTCAGAGAATTTCTGAATGAACTACTCAAATCAGGATTTAACCCTAACCAGGGATTTTTTAAGACCACCAATGAGGGACTTCTTTACCCTAATCCTGCTGCACAGATGCTCGTTGGAGACTCATATGCCCGACATTACTACTTTCTTGGAAGAATGCTTGGAAAGGTAAAAACAGTGGTGTAGAGTATAAAGCTATAGCAGTACTGAAATTATTCAGTAATGTTTTTTTCTATTTGGGTTTGGGTAGATGGGAAGAAAATAATGGTTTTCCTAGTCTTGAGGAAAAATAACTTTGAGATGTTGTGTCTGAACATTATATGTACATTTCATTTTAATAAGTTACATACTTGAGAAGTACAGAGGGTTTGCTATATCCTGACTGCTAGTTGAGCAAAATGTGCATATGTTTGCTTCTGTGTATATCCTGTTGATTAAAGTTAAGTTGATTGAAGCCAGCAGATCTACTCTGCTTGTGGTGATTTTTAACCTAGACCTTTTTGGAATATGACTGCCATTACATTTTCATCATTTGGAAAATATGAAAGTAATATTCTAAACAATTTCTAATTGTATAAGGCGTAGAATTCTTGCTAGCATTTAAAATCTGCCATCAGCATTTGCCATACTTAAGAGCCACATGCATATTAATTTTCACTTAATGTGTTTGGGGTTTGGTACATTTTGCGTATTTCTTGAGTTTTAATGTTTGATATTTTGGTGATGTGAATGTTCAAAGGCTAATAGATACTTGCTGAGCTAGATGAAAAATGAAAGGGGGAAGGAAAAAAGTGAGAAACCATTACAAACATTAATTACATTCAATTTTCTTTTAGTACTGAGGCTATTTCATTCTAAGCCCTTGAAATAATTTTTGTAATGTGAAACAAAGCTTGGAATACAAATTCCATTTCAGAAAAAGAAGAAAACAACATTGACTGTTACTTAACTATCTAAAACTGAAGGTATTTCAGATGTAAAAGTCCCATTTATCTGCCTGAATTATTTTGGAGGGTAAAATCCTGCTTACTTGCAGTGTAGCTGGAAGTGATTTAAGAGGATGTTGTTGGCGAACTTGAGTTGTCAAAACAGTGCTGTTCTTGAGAGTTGCCAATCAACTGATTTCGATTAAACTGCCACTTTAAGCAAATTCTCTGCTCGTGCATCCGAGCTACTGCCATATCCAAACTTCCTAAAGAATGGAAATTTCAAATCGGCCATTTCGATGAAACAGTCTTTGAATGATGTTCCTGCTCTTAATGGCAGATGGATTCAGTACTAATACAGTAGTTTGTAATTATGACCAATGTTACATATCCAAGTCTTTATGTTCTTTCTGAATGTATAGATTTTTTGAGTGGGGAAGGAAGTACTGTGGTATTGTAAGGAAGTTACTTGACCACAAAAATGTTTTGTGTATATCTGTGAATGGGGCAGGGATCAACTGATAGGTGAGGCTTGAAACAATATTTAAAAAAAAGATTGTAATTTTGCATATTCAGTTTCCTCTGTCAAAACAACACATAGCCTTCTATAACTGAATTTCAAATAATCCTATAGAGACAGAAGTTGCAACATGTGTTTTATCTCACAAAGTGCTACAAGTATAGTTTTACTTTTGTCTTTTTAAAATCCAAGGATCTATTATTTAACAGTTTGAAAGCATAAATTGTTTTTGATTTTGCAGTATGTTTAGATAAGGTAAGAACTGACAGTGTTACTTAATAATTACTCCTATCCAGGTGCACAGACACCTTTTTAGTAGTGTATTTAGAGACTTAATGAATTAAACAGAAAGATAAGGCACGACCATACTATTCAAAACCTGCCAGTATTGTGATCTTGGTTAGGTTATTGAATACTCACTCATCCGTTTTCAAAAATGTGTCCATTTAATGCTTTGCACAGAGTTATTTGAAAGCAATAGTGGATTATTAAAAGCCCCTTTGTAAACAAAATAGATATAATGCAAAGGAAGCAGTCAGGCATCCACAGCAATTTCTTATTTGTGGAAACCAGTATGTAAAGAGTGCTGCCACCAGAAACTCTCACCTAAGAAGCTTCAATATTATCAGAAAACAAATACATTAAAATATAATAATTTATAGAATTTATCTGTCTCTTGGTAACCATTTCATCCTAATATCCAAATGCATTTAGCTTTCAGTACCATGGAGTTACATCCAATTCAGTTTTTCTTCTTATCAGGAAGTTTCTAACAGCTTGGCATCTTCTCTTTTAATTAGTCAGTTCAGAAGTAGAAACATCTGAAAATTTAAAACTTACCTTTAAAGACAGTGTATCAAAAAAAGTTAATTATTTTAACCCTAGATAAATTATTGACTATTTAGGACATATTTTTGTAGTTAGTGAAGAAGTTAAAATCTGTGTGTAAACTGCATGGCTTGTTCATGAAACTTTTATAGTCACTGAATGAGGTCTCCTAGAAGTAATACCACATGACTGTGTAATTGCACATGTTGTCTGAAATCATTCTTAAAAAAAAAGAAGCAGAAATGAGTTTGCTTAAACAACAGCTACTCAAACACTTCCAAAGTTTACCTTTCTCAACTTTCAGTGACTTTACTCTGAAATGTCAACATTATCTTAGCATTGGTGCCTTTTAAGCATTTTCCTTTCTCTTCCTTAAAAGTAAAAGCTCAGCTTACTGAGCACCCTCCTGGTAACAGTGTCCCACCACCGGAGGGGTTGGAAACTTGAACCTCTCACTGGTGCCCACTGGAAGCCCAGCAGTGACTCCCAGAGTCCAGGCTTTGCTTGAGAGCCGAAGGTGTTTTGGCCTGTCAAAAACACTCAGGCAGAGGAGTTCTAGCCCCAAATTCTCTTTCTTGTCCTCTCTGGAAAGTACCGTCTTGTTGTCCCATGTGGTCTCCTGGAAGAAAGGATGTCTGGATGTTCTGATCCTTTTCCTCTGTCACTAGGTAGTTCTGGGCTGTGGGGAGGCACCTGATGTGGTTTAACTTCCTTTCCACATGCAGTAGTTGTTCTGGCAGCACTAAAACTCTTTCCATGTGCAGACTTTCCTGCTGCAGGTTTGGCAACGTAGTGGTCTTGGCTCAGGAGAACACAAAAGTTGCTATTTTGACAGGCTGCCAAAATTTCAAGCAACAAAGCCAGAGGAAGGAAATTTGGAAGCAGCACCTGGGAATATTAAATGAGGATTTTCTCCATACTGATTCTTGAGTGGTCTGCTGCAAACATGGAAAGAGTGGTTGGTAGACCAGTGACAGAGAATTAACATCTGAACTTCACCACATTTAGACCTAAACTCAATGTTGTATATACTGTATTATCTTTCTCCATTTTGAGGTTACATTTGCATTTATTCAACGATGCTACTGTGACAGATGTTGTGGAAAAGGACATTCTTTGTGTTTGGAATTCTTTGACATCAAGCAGCTAATTCTTAAGATAATTTGCTTCAATTTCTTGAAGTATCAGCATTAGTTTAAGAATAAGGCAGGAAATTCATAGATTAGTATGATAATTTTTATGGTTTCCTCTTCTTCCTTTTTGACATAAACCTGCTAGTTCTTGCATTTATTTTGTTTTGCAGTGACTGTCTTTGCATCTTAAACAGAGCGACTCTTTCTGACACTAGAGATTTTTGTTTAATGCACTCAGCATCTTTGGTTATACAGAATTCTACCGTCTCTAACTCTTAATTCCAGCATATTGAACAGCACGTGTGAGTCACACATTCATGTTGCTGAAGAACATCTATTTTTTGAACTATAGTACTAAATCCTCTTTTCTGAGCAATAGAACATGCAGTCCTGAGAGTACACTAAGGTTTTCTGGAAAGATTTAAATTTGTTTTGCCAAACCCCAGCTTTTGTCTTAAACAGTTGGGAAAGCAGTATGGAGAACAAAATGTCTTTTGAGTTGTTTTGAACTGAGTCCTTCCTTTGTGGACCCAAATAAAGAATGTTCATAGAAGAAGCAGTAAAGACTGAGAAAAAGTGCTGTGTTTATTTTGAATTTTAGCATTATTTTGATGACGGATAGATTAGACAGTCCAAGTTTAGTCTTTGATCATTAGTATTGAATAGTATATAGGAGGTCAGTAATTTCCATGGCCTGGTGGATATTATATTGATGAAGGTCTAAGTTGTTGATTTTCGTATGACTTTTTTATAGGCTACTATACTGATTTAAGATACAACAGACTGTTCTGTGCACATATCTAAATGTTGTTAAACACATGTAATTGAAAAAGCGAGTTATAAAATAGGTCCTTTGGTAAAATTAAACTTTAGAAGAGTAATAGTAGATCAAATACAGATTTTATTACCCTAGAAGTAGATGTGGGATCTAATTACTGATTAGATTGTTTTTCTGTGTCTTAGAGAGCATGCCTTATGGTTCCTGTTTGTAACTTTAAATAGAGCTGTGATAGCTTGTTTGTGGTGCAAGATATTATGCCTATCTGGGAGGTACAATTCTAACACTAGCAGTGTCTATAGAATCTGTTTTCCTGAAAAACAAAAGTAGTTCTTAATCATTCTTGGGCCTTATCTAAGATGGACTGAGTCAGTGGGAGTCTTTTCACAGCGAGATCTGGATCAGATCCTAAACTCTTAAATTATCAGTAGGATGCAGTTGTGGAGTTAAAACTTTCAAGGAAATGTTTCTGACAACATATTTGAGTCCCCTTTCTGTGCCAAAAACTCATAGCAAGAAAACTGTACAATGAGCACTGGGTTTTGTGTACTTGAATATTTGATAGGATGGTGCATTGAGCACTTCACTGCTGCTACTTCTCTGACTGTTGAAGGATGAGGGGTTTTTTTCCCTTATGATTTTCAGTCTCTTTCCCTTTTCTTACTGTCCACTTAATTAGATCCACTTTGGCTTGGCTTAAATCAGTACACACTTAAATGATTTGTGCAGCAGCCACAATTGATACTACTGGTACCTAGAAAGGTAGATATGAAATTGGTGATTCTGATGCAGAGAGGAGGTAATTGGTATAACAACTCTTTGTTTTATTAATTTCAGTTACCCTGCACATGATTTCATAGACTCAGCATTTTGCTTAAAAGCAAGTTAGCTGATGATCATTTGTCTTGGAAAATCCTGAATCATCTGAAATGGAATCAAAGCAGGAATTTGCCATGTGAACTGGCATGGTCCTTTAGTTATAC